TTATGTACTGTTTTTGTGGTGTGTGTGTGTGTGTGTGTGTGTGTGTGTTTTAACCCTCGAGGCTGTGGTTGCTAGTTGATTTTGTGGTCTCGCACCAAACCGTGAAATAATTGTGAATCCCAAAGGCTTTGGAAGAGGACAGATTTCTGTTAATGAGATCTCAGATTGATTGACCTTTGACCCCTGCTTGTGCAGACAGCCTGACTGAGGTCACAGCCCTCAACGTGTTCACCGGCCGCGAGGTTCCAGTGGTGATTTCCAGCAAGAATGAGTTCGACGGACATCTGGACACTGTGATGGGTGAGAAGATGCTTCTGTGTGTGTGTGTGTGTGTGTGAGGGGAGGACTGCAGTCTGTAAATCTTTAGTTTGTTAATGCAGTACATCTAGAATGCATTTGGATTTTTATCCAGCAGAGACTGCAGTGTCATTACATTTTGTGCGTGTGTGCGTGTGTGTGTGTGTGTGAATTCCTTAAGGAGAATCTACAGTATGCATCAGGGATGTGTGTGGAGTTCACCGCTCTAGTTATTTTCCAGTGTTTTTTTACGCATATACTTAAACAATTTCCCAGCATGCTGTACTCCAGCATTAAGCATTTCTGTAACAGTTCTTTAGCCTCTTCTGTGCGTTTGTCATTGCATGTACAGTTGCTCCAAAAAGTATTTAAACACTTACGGCATGCTTAAAAAATGAATGAAAGTCAGTGACATGATGCTCATTAAAATGTTTAATTTATACAAGGAATCCACTCAAGACAATGTTTTTAAATTCTGATTTAGAGAAATTATGAAGAAGCTTTAACCAACCTGAAATGGTAATGGAATTAAAATCCTGAAATTCTGTGTAATGTATTGTTTGAATAAACTTTTGTTATTATTTTAATTAAACAGTGAAGCAGGTTTGTTTTAAAATCTTATTTGAAAACAGTTTGTCCACCAAATCAGTACAGTATTGTTTATTTCACATGTTTTTTGTTTTACATGTGTGAAAACCACAAAACAGTATATATTCTGAAATATATAAATAATATTTTCTATATAAAATATGCATACAAATATTTGTTAATTTGATCTTCTTATGACATTGCAAGAGTAGTTCAGGTTTACAAATGGTAAACCCTAAGAATGATATTCATAATTTAAAAAAAATCTTATTTATTTACTCCAACAATATAATAACTGTTTATATTTTTAGATAATGATTAACACTTGCATGCATTCAGTGTTTAAGCATATGTTTTTCTTAATGGTTACTCTGCTTGACATTACATAAAGACTTGCATGTTGTATAAATTCTATATTTTCAGCAAAAAAGTTGTGAAACCAACATGAAAAAAAGATTATGTTTCCACAAACTTGACTCGTTCGTTTTGACCCACAAATGCAATTGCATTAGATACAAAATACCAAATGCTTTTTCTCTGATTGGATAGCTAAGATTGAATTTCTGTTCATTTTGCAGAGACACATTTATGTGGCCAAGAGTATATGAAAAGTTTTAACAAATTAGATTGCTAATTGATAAGTAAAAACACATGAAGTGACCCTTAGATGGAGTCAGTTCTCCCGAATTTAACTGTTTTACAACCACAAAGAGTCACAATTCTTTCATTTAACATTAGATATATACAAGGCATATATATATATATTTTTTTAAAAACAACTCTTTCTTTTTTTATTCTTTATAACAGGCATCCCAGATAGCAGTGAGGAGGAAGCAGAGTTGGCTCAGTCTCTGGGTTTGAGCTGGATTTCTGTTCTGAAGACAGAACAAGACGGAACACAGACTCTAATAAACTCAGATGAGGTAAACCCACCATCACGGTTAAACATGAGAGCAGAGGTTAACCAGCTAACCGGTTACACATCCTGATCATCTCATCCACTGTAGTTCACAGGTCAAAGCCGGGCAGAAGCTTTTAACTCTGTTACCCAGAAAGCCCGGGAGAGGAACGCTGGTGGATACCTCACTAGTGCCAAGTTACGTGATTGGCTAATCTCGAGGCAGCGCTACTGGGGCACACCCATTCCCATAGTGCACTGCAGCGCATGCGGGCCTGTGCCAGTTCCAGTGGAGGAGCTGCCAGTCATGTTACCTAAAGTACCGTCCCTCTCAGGGAAAGGGGCGTCGCCCTTAAAGATGGCACAGGATTGGCTGAGATGCCAGTGTCCGAGGTAAGTGCAAGAGTTTGAGTAAAAAACTACAATGATAGTCATTCAAAAGTAGCTGTTAGTAGTATTTTTACTAAATATTAGTTAGTTACTGTTGCTACGTCTGATAAGTCACGGCGCTCTCACGGCACACATCGTTCTCACGCAGTGAAAAATACATCGCGGAGCCAAGAGAAAACTGACAACACGCCGACAGACAAGACAAAGCAGGTTACTTTTGGAATTAAAAAAAGTCTCAGCTTTTCACATTTTGTCAAAAAATTCAAACAATAAATATCATTTTGTGGCTCTTTTATTTGTCGTGACAGATCACTGTAGTGCCTCAGTTCAAGCAGCACATGAACCGGTCATCTAGTTATAGCACGAAATAAACATTAATGAACATCAGAAGGTTTCTTGTTCAATCACAGAAAGATGTCAACACACACCATTTTTCAAGTTCAAGTCGACCGATGTTAATCTACTCTCCTGTCTGGGTTGTTTGTCGGACAAATTGCAGATTCAGAATTATGATTGGTCAGATCGCCTGTCAATCAAGCTCCCGGCGAAGGGTGAATTAGATTATATAGGAATATTATTATATTTACATATTATAGAAGGTCATAAAAATACTTCTAAAGCATTTATTAATCTTAGTTAATGTTCCTTTCGATATTTAGCAATTCATAACTAAAAGCAAAAAGCTGTATCTTTTAATATGATTTAATGGACCTGAGCCAACATGAAATAACCATAAACAACTATAACAGTATTTTTATTAACAAAGATTAATAAATACTTTTAACAGATGTATTTCTAATTGTTAATGCATTAAGTAACGTTAAGTAATGAGACCATATTGTAGTGTTACCATTTTTTGTTTTGGTTTGCTTTGCTTTGTTTTGTGTTTTGGTTTTGTTTTGCTTTATTTTTTTCTTTGCTTTTGGTTTGTTTTGCTCTGCTTTTCTTGTCTCGGTTTTGTTTTTTGTTGTGTTGTGTTGTGTTTTTTGCTTTGCTTTTCTTGTCTCGGTTTTGTTTTTTGTTGTGTTGTGTTGTGTTTTTTGCTTTGCTTTGTTTGGCTTGGTTTTGTTTCACTTTGTTTTGCTTTGTATTTTACTTGCTCATTTTTGTTTTGTTTTTTAGTGCAGCTTATTGCTTTGTCTTTGCTTTACTTTGCTTTGCCTTGCTTAGCTTGGCTCGTTTTTGTTTTTTGTTGTGTTGTGTTTTTTGCTTTGCTTTATTTTTTGCTTTGCTTTTTGTTTTTGCTTTGCTTTGTTTGGCTTGGTTTTGTTTTTTGTTTTGCTGCGTTTTGTTTTATCTGCTTTGCTTTTTGTTTTAGTTTTTTTGCTGTGCTTTGTTTTTGTTTTGTTTCACTTTGTTTTGCTTTGTATTTTACTTGCTCATTTTTGTTTTGTTTTTTAGTGTAGCTTATTGCTTTGTCTTTGCTTTACTTTGCTTTGCCTTGCTTAGCTTGGCTCGTTTTTGTTTTTTGTTTTGTTGTGTTTTTGCTTTGGCTTTGCTTTATGTTTTTTGCTTTGTTTTTTGTTTTGCCTTTTTTATTTCTGGTGTTTTATTTTTTGTTTTGTTTTAGATTGAGGAAGGACAGTACCTACATAGAACACACTGAGCACAGTTGAATTCGAACCTGCATCCCTCATATGAGCACCACGGAGCTGTCTGGAGCATGTGCACTGATCACTAGGCCTTTTCTCTGTGGAAATTTCTTCTCAGATTTAGAGGTCAGACAGTTTGGTTTCTTTGACGAAAGACGGGAATATAAATTGAACTCTGAGAAAATCCAAAGTGTTTGATAAGAGTTTCATCTGGTGGCATAGTAATATAAGTGGAATCATTTTCTTCCATTATCTGAGTCTTTGTACTCCCACTCTGTCATGTGAAATAATGGCAGACTTCACCAGAACTCATTGTTTCAGATCTCATCAAAACAGAGCCAAGTTCAGACCCAGCCAGACTAAAGTGGCTTGTTTCATGGAGCACTTGTCCCCTGGAGACTACAGGGATCATTACCACTGAGTCATGGAGGTGGTGAAGATGTGCGCACAGATAGCACCTCCTCACTGTGAAGGGTATTAATAGACACTCTCTGACCATGAAGCGCACTAATGCTGGCAGAGCCACTGAAAGCTGGTGACATTTTTACGAAAATCCTCTGTCGGATAGACGCATGAATGGAGAGACAAATGCATCTTAGCTGCCTGACTTCCTGCATTTGTAAAATACCCACTCTGCATACATATACACAGAATTGTGGATTAGTAGAGGTCGAACATTATGGGTTTTTAGTGACTGATGCCAGTATCTGGAAAGCAGGGTGGCAGATGGCTGATTTGATGCAGATATTTATAATGTTCAGTTAAGAGCTAATTGCTTCCTTTTTAAGCAAGACAAGATGAACAATTTTAAGTAAACAACGTTTCATAAGCCTATAAGTCTACAGTGAATAAAAGGATTATAAAATGTATGTATTCAAATGTGTACATTTGAATGCATACATTTGAATACATTCATTTCAAATTTACAGTTTCTCTCCTCTGAGAATTAAAAAAAACTCACAATTAGGGATGCACAATATGTTCTCACCATATTAGTTATCAACCGATATTGGCACATTTTCAATTTATTGTTATATAGGTCATTTTTGGGTATTTATCTGGCAATTTTGGATATTTATTTTTTTCCACCTCTTTAAAGAGTTAAATAGTCATCTAGCACTAATTTTGTGAAATAGTGATTGATTAAGGCAAATATTTTACAAGCTCTATCTCCTAAACCGCTCTTAAAACAAAAGTGCGTGTGTGTTGCTGTGTGCATGTAGCAATAGTGTTTTAATTTTTAAAACATTAACTTTTTTCTTTTTTTTTTAACAAAGTAGTATAGATTGGTCACATCTGCCATTTATCTGGTATCAGCCATACCATGAAAATAATTATCGTCATGGATTTAGTAACATTTTTATAGCAGTGCAACCTTACTCACATTGCATAAATATTTTTTTAACTTAAATATTTTGTCCAATCAGATGCTTTCTAGAACGATGTTCTAGTAATGTTGCCTCCCCCTAAATTATAATCTAAATCTAAATATAAGTATGTTTAAGAATTTTATTTTTTACTGTAGCAACTGGTTTTATGACAGAAATGTAATTGTTTCATATTAAATATAATATGAATGTACAGTATTAGACTACATTTATTCAAAATTGTATTTAATTTAGTAACTGCGGCTGTTATGAGCTGTCAAGTGCAGCCAAACCTAATGGTGTTAACTAATTAAAAAACGAATGGTCTTACAAATGGTACAGTTAAACTATGAATACTGTGCAAACACTGTATATTTATACAGACAAGTACAGAGCAGAATCATGGCCTTTAAGTGTCTGAACCTTTATGAATTATGGACTAAGCTCCTGTATGTTCTGTTCTGCTTTATGGCCTTGGCTGCCTTCAGAAATTTGAAAAAAGTATTGAAATGATCTGTTAACGAGTCACAGGTCTGTCCAGCCACTGATGAAATACTGCAACAGCTGTAGAAATGAGGGTAGGTGCTTCGCTGTGTTACATCAGAAGTATTGTAGTAGTGTAGTTTTGGACTTGAATCTGTGTTTCTGGATGCCCTGAATTAATTTTTACGTTTTTTCAAGTTTAGTTCTTTTCAGGTATTTAGACTCTTTGCTATTTGAGGTGTTCAACTGGATACAAGTTATAAGATATCTGTGTAATGGAGGATACCATCCAAAACATATAAAAAACACTTTCCTATAAGATTCTATATTAGTTCATGCATTAGGTATCATGAAGTATCAATGAACAATAATTTATCAATCTTGATTTCTATTATTTATAAATGTTCTATTGTAAGTTGTTATGAACTAGAAACCTCCACAAACCCAAATTTTGCCATTTTGAAAAAACTGTGGAGAAAAAAAATGTTTTTTTTTTTTTTTTGGTCACACTTTATTTTAAGGTCCAATAGTCGCTATTAACAAACCATTAACTATGACTTTTGCCTCAATAAACTCCTAATTGCTGCTTATTAATAATTAGTAAGGTAGTTGTTAAAGGGTTAGTTCACCCAAAAATTACAATTAGGCTGTGTTTTACTCACCCCCGAGGCATCCTAGATGTATATGACTTTCTTCTTTCAGACCAATCCAGTCGGAGTTATATTAAAAATGGTGTTTGATCTTTCAAGCTGTTTAATGCCACTCAGCGGGTGTTTCATGCATCAGTCCAAAAGAAGTTAAATAAAAAATCCATAAAAAAAGTCTCTCACACGGCTCCCGGGGGGGTGAACAAAGGCCTTCTGTAGCGAATCGATGCGTTTTTGTAAGAAAAATATCCATATTCAAAACGTAATAATCACTTTAATATAGCTTGCGCTCACTGTTGTACACTGGAAGCAGCTCCGGCCGGATGTCGTATGAGGTCAGCTTTGCGCATGCACCGCTCAGAAGTGATGCACGCGGAAGCCCAGCAGAGAGATAAAAACAAAACAACGGTCACTAATTAGAAGTACAAAACGAGGATTTGTAAAGAAGGATGTCAGAGGATTTCGATATAAGCCAAGAGGAGACTGGTTTTCCTTTGCTAAAGTAAGGAAACTTTGCTTCCTTTGCTCCTGTTAACAAACGTTGGTTTTCATGAGACTCACCGGCGCATGTGCAACGCTGACCTCATACGTCATCCGCTCGGAGCTGCTTCTGTGTACAACTGCTGGCGCAAGCTACATTAAAGTGATTATTACGTTTTGAATATTACAAAAACGCATCGATTCGCTACAGGAGGCCTTTGTTCACCCCCAGGAGCCGTGCGAGACTCTTTTTTTTATGGATGGGCGCTTTTTATTTCACTTCTTTTGGACTGATGCATGCAACACCCGCTGAGTGGCGTTAAACAGCTTGAGAGATCAAAGACTATTTTTAATATAACTCCGACTGGATTTGTCTGAAAGAAGAAAGTCATATACACCTAGGATGCCTCGGGGGTGAGTAAAACACAGCCTAATTTTCATTTTTGGGTGAACTAACCCTTTAAGTTTAGGTATGGGGTATTAGGGATGTAGAATATGGTCATGCAGAATAAATGCTTTATAAGTACTAATAAACAGCCAATATGTTAATAATAGGCATGCTAATAAGCAACTGGTTAATAGTGAGAATTGGTCCTTAAACTAAAGTTACCTTTTTTTTAAATTCCAGATCTTTTAAAACATGCTAAGATCTCATCACTGGTATAAGTTCAGTCTTGTCAAGTTGAAGTAAATCAGTGTGAAATCTGTCATATTTGTAGTAACTAGTAGAATTACAGTATTTGATTCAGACGGTGACGTTTTTGCCCTGCTTGTTCCTGTGTCGACGAGGAGACCGGATCATCTCTGATCTGTGAGACCTCGAAGAAAATCACCTTATTTCTTTAAATGATCGAAAACATTCAGCGAAGTGGCTGCGGAGAGAGAAAGACACGGAAACCAGATCAAGAGAGAGATGGTGCTTATCTGCCTCGTCCTTGAGGAAAAGAGGAGTCATTTCCTGAGCTGTGATATTGTCTCTGGCTTCGCTGTTAGAAGCTTAATTGAAATCGGAGGATAAAAAACAGAGAAAGATCTCACAGCCGGATTTTGGTGCTGATTATATGTTTGAATGTTTGTTGTGGGACACTAACACACACCAAAGCAACACTCACAAAACTCGCTTTCAACCCCGCCTCGTTGGAAAAATCTGCCTGTGGTGACATTGCTTCAAAATGTTATTTGGGTTTCTGTGGCTGGTTACGCACTACTAAATATTTTTGCATTGCACCATTAAACTTAGTAACGTAACTCTAAATATAAACTAAATATTTGCAACCAGGAGTAATAATTTGAATAAAACAGCAGATTGATTGAATTGCATTGAAGGTAAATGTCATATTATGCAACTACAAATTACTTTAGAGATCTTTATCTCAAAAACAAATGGTGCAAACAAATACAGAATTAGTTACAAACTAGCTAGTAGTAGCAAAGCCTTTAAGGCCCGTTCACACCAAGGACGATAACTATAAAGATAACGATAAAGTCGTTCTCAATATTAAAGAATAGCCCACACTACAACTATAACGATATAGACAAAGAGAAACAATATCGTTGGAATCACTTTCAAAGCGATTTTTCTCCAGCTGATGAACGATAAAAAATTGACAGCCAATCAGAATCCATCCTGCTGTAACGAGCTCAAGAATTTAAAGCAGCAGATGTGCGTGCGCTTAGAATAAACAGACGATATCGTTCGCTGGTGTGGACGCTAATATCGTTATCTTTATAGTTATCGTTCTTGGTGTGAACGGGGCTTTAGTATGGACTTTTACAGTTTAAATGAGAGCTAATGATTGGATGGTGCAACACCTGCTGAGCTGCTTTCTCTTGTCAGTGTGCATCTAATGGCTTCCTCTCATGACATTCTGTGTCCAGTCTATTATCAGTCCAGCCGCACACACTTCCACCATTTCGTCGATAACGAGTCAAAAACAAAACTGTAAAATCAGTTTTTTTAAAGCATAATAATGCCCTAATTTCTCAGTGTAGATCTGCTATAAACACTCTCTCTGAGCACCTCATTACGGCTCATATGTGAGATGCTCGTCTCTCAGATGGCACCTGGCTTTCAAAGAATTAACCTGCTATACCTTCGCCCTGTTGCTAGGCGACCGCAAGGCGCTTGGCAGTATAATAGGCAGGATTGTCTGAACGTTCGACTGATTATCAAAGACGGGCTGGACTCTCTCAGACTGGAGTGGAGGGAGGGTCGGCCGGCCGCACACTTTAGGACTGACATTAGCAGGGCTGGATTCTGCTCATGCTGCGTGCGGGTCGGGGTTCGGCCGTTAATTCGTTTATTTTGATGCGGATGATTAGCTGAATGAAGTCTGCCGAGACTCGCTAGAGTAAGTGTGACTGCATTGTAAACTGACAGATGGCCCAGGATGCAAAGCGCTGTTTGCTTTGGGTGCGAGACTGGCGTTCAGTGTTTAGGATTTCAGTGGTGCCAGCTGAGAAACCACACAGCAGGGTTATTACTGTGAAAAATTCATTCAAAACTCATTTCATTTTGTATTTCGATTTTAGATTTTCGTTTTTGGTAGCTCCAATTGTTAATGAAAGAAAAGTCTTTAGAAATTAACTAGTTTTAGATTTCATCCCTTATTGTGTTAGAATCAGATGTCTGATTCTTGTCTAGTTTATGTTCAGTGGGTATAGAAAAGAATCACCCCCCTGAAATGAAGCCTGAAATGAAGACGGACACAGTTTTTCTTTTATCCAGCTGTATTTCACTTGCGTCCAAGTGAAAGATATAACACCAACATGTCAGAATTTTGCCATGTTAGTGTCACATGATCTTCAGAAATCATTCTAATATGCTGATTTGCTGCTCAAGAAACATTTCTGATTATTATCAATGCAGTTGTGCAAAAAAAAACTTTTTTTGTGGAAACTTGTGATGTATTTTATTTTTCAGGATTCTTTGATGAATTGAAAGTTCAAAAGAACAACATTTATTTGAAATAGAAATCTTTAGTAACATTATAAAATGTCTTTACTGTCACTTTTGATCAATTTAATGCATCCTTGCCGAATAAAAGTATTTCTTTCGTACTTATAACACTTATCAGAGTTGTTAAAGTTAACTAAAGCTAAAACGGAAACTAAAACCATAAAAAAAAAACATTTTCATTACTTGAAATAACTGAAATAAAAATAATATGTGACCCTGGAGCACAAAACCAGTTATAAGGGTCAATTTTTCGAAACTGAGATTTATACATCATCTGAAAGCTGAATAAATAAGCTTCCCATTGATATATGGTATTGTTATGATAGGACAATATTTGGCCGAGATACAACTATTTGAAAATCTGGAATCTGAGGGTGCAAAAAAATCTAAATATTGAGAAAATCATCTTTAAAGTTGTCCAAATGAAGTTCTTAGCCATGCATATTACTAATCAAAAAATAAGTTTTAATATATTTACAGTAGGACATTTACAAAATATCTTCATGGAACATGATCTTTACTTAATATCCTAATGATTTTTGGCATTAAAGAAAAATCTATAATTTTGACCCATACAATGTATTTTTGGCTATTGCTACAAATATCCCCCAGCGACTTAACACTGCTTTTGTGCTCCAGGGTCACATTTATATTAATATAATATATATATATATATATATATATATATATATTATTTCAGCTACTTGTCAAGGCAGCACTTCTCATTTTAATGTAGTTGTACTTGATTTACTAAAATAAAACTGGAACTAAAATTGAAATAAAAATAGACATTAATAATAATAATAATAATATAATAAAACACTAAAAATAACAAAAACCATTATTATATATATATATATTTAAAAAAAATTAAATCTAGAATAGTATCTCAATGATATAAAATAACACTGGTTATAATATGAATATAATATGATGTTTTCTGAGTAAACATGCTAGATTAATGTGTTTGTACTCGCATCGAGGGTTTTGCAGCGTCTCGTGCGTGACATAAAAGTCTAAAACGGTGGTGCACAAATTAAAAAGATTCATTGAAAAAAGTCATCCCACTGCCCTGTGTTTTTAAATCCAAAAACATGCTGTGTGTGAATGTCCCCTAATGGGATTGAAAAGAGACTGAATGACTTGCTTTACTTTGTATATTAAGTTGGAACATGAGAAAATACTTTAGCTTTAGTGTGCACATCACCTTTAAATATGTCACATAGTATGACCAAGTTCAGTATTCTGTTAACTATGAGTGAGTCATGGTGGCACAAAACGCACCGTTTCTTGAAATGAAGCATATCGACTAGCCCAGCACTTACACTCTTCCTCCTGTTGATATCAGGTGTAAAGGGCCGGCGGAGAGAGAAACAGACACCATGGACACCTTTGTGGATTCCTCCTGGTACTATTTCAGATACACTGACCCTCAGAACCCGCTGAGGTAAGGAAACCGGCTCTGTCTGGCTCTCTCTGTCCCACCAGGTGTTTGTGGAGACTGTTCTAGTCTGTGGTGCTTCCAAAGATGCTGATCCGTTGTTGCTTTAACTCAGTTTCTATGAAGAAAGCGCGGGGGAAGTACAGTACTTCCTGAGCTCTGTTATTGTTCTGTATCGAATGGAGGAGCAGTTCACATTCTCCCTTCAGTGTGCGGTTGAATGTGTTATTCGTGATTGTGATGTCGGTATGAAGCAGCGGCAGCATTAAAGTGTTCTTAGAGAGTTTGTGAGATTGTAACACCTGTCGCACACACACACACACTCTCTCGTCATGTTTCAGTGTTGATGTTTGTGCATGAGCGCATCCCAGTGGTCGCTCTCGTGTAATACAGATACAGTATAAGGTGTTTGTGTCCTCTTGCAGGCCTTTCGAGCGCTCGAGAGCAGATCACTGGATGCCTGTGGATGTTTATATCGGAGGGAAGGAGCACGCCGTCATGCACCTGTACTACGCACGCTTCCTCAGCCACTTCTGCAGAGACCAGGGCATGGTTTCACACAGGTGCCACACACACACACACACACACACACATATCCATGAGTGCCATGAGAAGAGCGTGAAACATATAGAATCACTGGGGAATAATGTGGGTTGAGACAGCCAAGATGTTTAAACAATATGTAAGACTGTGTCTTAAGAACTAGACCTGAGCAATTAGCTAGGGGTAATCAGTCTTATTTTTCAGATTCAACTTAAAGAAGTTAATGGCAGTCAACGAGTCACTGATTTTATGCATTGTGACTTAATTTGGTAACACTTTACAATAAGGTTCAAATAGTTAGTTAGGTAATGCATTAATTAACATGAAGTAACAGTGAGCGATGCAAATGTTGCAGCTTTTATTAACCTTAGTTAATGTTAGTTAATTGCATTAAAGGGATAGTTCACCCAAAAATTACAATTCTGTCATCATTTACTCACCGTCTACTTGTTACAATTAAACCTGTATAAGTTAATTTCTTCTGTTGAATATAAAAGAAGATATTTTGAAGACTGTTGGTAGCCAAACAGTTGACGGTAGCCATTGACTTCCATAGTATGGGGGAAAAAATACTATGGAAGTCAATGGCTACCGTCAACTGCTTGGTAAATGATGACAGAAGTTTCATTTTTTTGTGTGAACGATCCCTTTACATAATATTAACAGATATAACTTCTGATTTCAATGCTGTTTTTCATAAATGTTGAAGTTCACATTAATTAAGATTAATAAATGAAGTGTTATAGAAGCATGTTAACTGATGTAGACAATTAACATTAATGAATGGAACCTGAATTGTTAACCATAAAAAGTAGGCTATAATATTATGGAATAATATTATTTTTTATTACAGAAATGTTGTTTTGCAGAGGAGAAATTATTAGATTTTAAGTTTTCCTTTTACATAAATTGTGCACTGATGAATTGTGTAAAGTATTCATTAATGGAATAGTTTAACCAAAAATGACAATTCTGTGATTACTCATTAATTGGTGAGTGAATAATCTGAAAAATTAGTTAATTTATTTATTTAGTGAAACACAAAAAGTTGGTAGTTCACCGTGACCATCTGCTTTCAAACTCAAAAAAGACCAACAAAACTAGGGATGCGCCGATCCGATATTCATATCGGGTATCGGCTCCGATAGTGCCATTTTTCTCGGATCGGGTATCGGTCAGAGAGGGCCGATCCAAATCCAAGATTTTTTTTTTTTTCCGATTGTGCGAATTATTCTGTGTTACTTCTGAAGCCATACGATAGCTTAATGTGAGCTACATGTGAATATTTATGTCCTTACATAAAAGTTCACGCAAACTCTTGTCAGACTGTGACGCCGTGTTGCTTCAAGCGCATTATTCTGCACACCGGATGCGCACATTGTAAGAGCTTCGTGCTCATAGACTGCATAAAAACAGTTCGTGCTGCACTGTATTTGTTTTGTCCTATCGTATCTATCATACGTTTTTGCCTTATTAAAAATGTTATAGTAAATACTTAATATATAAATACATTCATGAATGTTTTTAATACATGGATTTTATAATAATACAAATAGCAATGTGTAACATTTGACCATATTTAGTGCAACACTTTTATTTGTTCCCCACAAAATACTGTTTTTTCACTAAATGTTTGGATTTCTAAAATTATTGTGCACTGATTTTTCTAGAATAACTTTTTCTGCCGAATTATCTACTAACCTAGTTTGATACATTTTTGTCATAGATTATAAATATACATAGGCCTATATTTTTTCATAGTGGTTTATTTTATTTTTCTTTATAATGAAGTAGTCTGTATCTAGTAGATTGTGAAAGAAGGATTATCAGTTCCACACACAGAGATATATAAATTCTACATTTATTTAAAATGTAGAAATTTATCTTCACTGGTATCGGATCGGTATCGGCCAATACCGAACCCTAGGTATCGGAATCGGTATCGGAGGCGAAAAAGGCGGATAGGAGCATTCCTAAACAAAACACACAAAAGCAGTCCAAGTTTTTAGAAAGCATTCACTAGCTTTGTGTCATGACTTTTCACATGTCAAATGAACTATTTTTTATCATACTTCTATGGTGTTTTCTATGGAAGCTTGTTTCCACCATGGGATAAAAATGAATGAAATTGTGACTTTTTATCTTACAATTCTGAGAAATTGCATGAAAACAACTTTGTGATAAAATTGTAAGATATAAACTTGCCATTCTAAGGGGGAAAAAAGTCTCTAAAGTTTTCCTCCACATGAATAAAAATAACAGAACACAGGTTTGGAACAAGATGAGAATGAGTAAATACTGACAGTGTTAAGAACGTGTGCTTTGAGCTAGTTTACATGTTGAATTTCCTTCATATGCTGGATTGGGTGACCAGTGATGTACATCCAGTCTCTTGATTTCAGGGAGCCCTTCAGAAAGCTGCTGGTCCAGGGTCTGATAAAGGGGCAGACGTTCAGGGTGGCAGAGACCGGCCAGTACCTCACGAAAGAGGACATCGACTTCTCAGGTGTGTGTTTGTGTGTAAGAAGATATAAAGTACAGTATGTTGCCAACAGTTCTGGGGTTTGTGACGAATTTGTGAAATCTGGTTCATGCGAGAGTTTCATCTGTCTTAGAATCGGACTCTCGGACTGTTTAGAGGTCAGAAATTGCACATGACTCTGAAAACAAAGAATATGTAGGCCTATAGTTTTGGATATACTATTGGAATTAAAGGGATGGTTCATCCAAAAATGAAAATTCTGTCATTAAAGGTGGGGTAAGTGATTTCTGGTTGCCAATGTTGACATTTGAAATCACCAAAACAAACACGCCCCTACCCCAAAAGTGTCTCGCCCCTATTTTGATTGCTCCGCCCCACACATACGTACGCAACGGATTAGTGAAACAAAGCAAAACTGCTGCTGCGTTCCATTCATGACGTATTGACACAAATTTCAAATGATTTTCAACGGTCGCTTTGTCCAGTGTACTAGACAGACTTTAGCTGTTGCGGCGCAGACACGGTGTTACTCACCTATCGAGAAGAAACAAAGCAACCTCGGCGTCCGATCGCAGGCCTCCGCTCCTTGAGTTCTCTCCAGCGCTGGAAAGCTGATCCGATATTTACACGGGTCCCACTTCTTGCCTTAAGCCTTCTTTTGTTCCGCAGACGTTTTCCTCTTTTGTTTTTTATCCGCCATCTCTATCTTTCTGTCGCTCGGCTCGGCTAATGTCCGTCCCGTGCACTGAACGCGCTCTCCTCCACATCCTGAGTAGACACGCCCCTTACTGCTGATTGGCTTCGAGTTTGTTTAGCTATTCGGCCCGAATCGGTTTTCTAAAGTGTTTTTGAAAAATCACTTACCCCACCTTTAATTGCTCACCTTTGTTCATCTTCAGAATACAAATTAAGAGATTTCTGATGAAATCCGACAGCTTTCTGACCCTGCATAGACAGCAGTGCAACTGAAACAAATAGATTGAATTAATATGAGTAATTAATGACATAATTATGACATGAACTATCCCTTTAAAGCCCCACCATCAGTTAAAAGAATCAGTCGCCTCATTGGTAAAGACACTAGCATCTCTTTTTACTCTATTATGTCTGAAAAATAGAGGTAGCTTTGTTTCCTAGTGGACTGATAAAAATATGTGCACTCGGACTCCTGAAAATTGCATTAAGCCAGCCAATCTGTCTTGAGTGTAAAATTATGAGACAGCCTGTGCCATTTTTGTGTGTAAAATGCATCAGTGCCGTGAACAGCCCTCCTCACGTTTCTCACTCACTTCCTGTTTCGCTTTCTGTGGATACTGGATCTAAAATAGCCTTTTTTTTTTTTTGCCAGGCAACAAGGTAAACAGACTCGCAGGAGCATCTGAATTGGCTCCCGAAATTGCTTGTAATGTCTGTGATATCAGCGATGGTTTTATAATGCGTCTGTGTGTAAACACAGAGAAATGCTTATTATGGTAAACACAGCTGCGTCTCTTCCTGAGGATTCAAACATGCAAGATCACAAACACAAGCGATGTTAACTTCCCCATTGTTGTTCAGTCGTAGCGCAAGCAGGGCGTGACGGTTGCTCGGTGTGGTATTTGCCCCGCCCCTCCTCAACTGTGATTGGTTAGATGACTAAGAAGTCATTCTTCAACACTCAGTGCCTCGTCACGCTCCTGGCGTTTTAAAAAATCTCAGCGCTCCCATTGAAAATAATTGGAAAAAATACGCTAGCCTTGAGTAAAAACGCTTTAGTGGCCTTACGGTCACTTCTGATCAAATAAATGCATCCTTGCTGAATAAAAGTATTATTTATTAGTTGCTTATAGGCACCTATTGTGTCCGTTACTTTTCTTCTTCTTCCTAAGTCTATGGCAGCCCATAGAACCAATTGTGGGAAAGTTATGAAATTTGGCACACAGATAGAGGACAGTCTCATTGTTGTCCACACTAAATTTGGAGTCTTTAACTCAAACTCTCTAGCGCCACCAACAGGCCAAATTTGCACTCATGTTTATGCTAATAACTTTTGAACCGTAGTCGTCTAGAAGCAAAATTCTGTTTTCCTCCGAATCCTTGGCTCATGCTGAGGAATCGGACATTGAAACATTGAAATTTCTATGCGTGAAGATATTTCGCAATTTTGAATTTTCCGAAAAATCTACTTTTTCGAACACATTCTAGATGGTTTGTCCGATTTTCACCAATATTGGCTCGGATCGTCTTCGGAGCATTCTGTCAAAAGTTATCAAGAGCTTTTTGATATGCTAAACCGTGCTAACGAATTTGACGAAGTGCAAAAATGGACTTGAGGTTATATCTTCGGCAATCTTAGCAGATTCTGAACAAACTTGGTATGCGTTATAACAAGCATGACCTGAAGGCACATGAGTAGTTTCAGCACAGCACCACCTACTGGTTAGAAGATATAAAAAAATTGACATTTCTGCTTAAAACTCCTGACCAGTTTGGCCAAAAAATCACGAGATTATTCTCGTTAGATTTGGAACAGCATACCGAATCGAACGATACCGAATTTTTCCAATGTTCCCCTTTTTGGGCGTCGCCCATTTTGAGTTTTGTAGTAAGTTTAAACTAAAGGTTGTTGTTCCTTACAACTTACCAAAGATCCAGTGGTCCATGGATATTGGCATGCAGCCAGGAATCGTGTTTCCTGGCATTTATATGTGCCTGATTTCGACGCTGGGGAAATACATACAGCAAATTTGCCTGTGAACGCTTTATGTAAATCTAAATCTAGCTGGGTGATCACTTATATAAATGTTGTATTCAGATCGTCATATCGTCCAGCCCAAAAACTTATATAGTTTTTGTCAGTGTTTATTTAAAAACATCCAGTTTTGCAGACTATAAGATAAATATTTAAGTGATGAGTTATCAATACAATATACTATAACAATTCAATATATAGTGTATGATTTTACCACAAAATATCGACATAAAATGATAACTGCTAGGCCCCTTAATTGCTGCTTGCAGCTATATATTTTTGTAAATAACTCCAAACTATTTTAGGTTATGTTACTACCAGCTGTCAACAGTAATGTGTCTCAGATCACATGACAGATGTTAAATCGGTTTTCTAAAGTGTTTTTGAAAAATCACTTACCCCACCTTTAATTGCTCACCTTTGTTCATCTTCAGAATACAAATTAAGAGATTTCTGATGAAATCCGAGAGCTTTCTGACCCTGCATAGACAGCAGTGCAACTGAAACAAATAGATTGAATTAATATGAGTAATTAATGACATAATTATGACATGAACTATCCCTTTAAAGCCCCACCATCAGTTAAAAGAATCAGTCGCCTCATTGGTAAAGACACTAGCATCTCTTTTTACTCTATTATGTCTGAAAAATAGAGGTAGCTTTGTTTCCTAGTGGACTGATAAAAATATGTGCACTCGGACTCCTGAAAATTGCATTAAGCCAGCCAATCTGTCTTGAGTGTAAAATTGTGAGACAGCTTGTGCCATTTTTGTGTGTAAAATGCATCAGTGCCGTGAACAGCCCTCCTCACGTTTCTCACTCACTTCCTGTTTCGCTTTCTGTGGATACTGGATCTAAAATAGCCTCTTTTTTTTTTTGCCAGGCAACAAGGTAAACAGACTCGCAGGAGCATCTGAATTGGCTCCCGAAATTGCTTGTAATGTCTGTGATATCAGCGATGGTTTTATAATGCGTCTGTGTGTAAACACAGAGAAATGCTTATTATGGTAAACACAGCTGCGTCTCTTCCTGAGGATTCAAACATGCAAGATCACAAACACAAGCGATGTTAACTTCCCCATTGTTGTTCAGTCGTAGCGCAAGCAGGGCGTGACGGTTGCTCGGTGTGGTATTTGCCCCGCCCCTCCTCAACTGTGATTGGTTAGATGACTAAGAAGTCATTCTTCAACACTCAGTGCCTCGTCACGCTCCTGGCGTTTTAAAAAATCTCAGCGCTCCCATTGAAAATAATTGGAAAAAATACGCTAGCCTTGAGTAAAAACGCTTTAGTGGCCTTACGGTCACTTCTGATCAAATAAATGCATCCTTGCTGAATAAAAGTATTATTTATTAGTTGCTTATAGGCACCTATTGTGTCCGTTACTTTTCTTCTTCTTCCTAAGTCTATGGCAGCCCATAGAACCAATTGTGGGAAAGTTATGAAATTTGGCACACAGATAGAGGACAGTCTCATTGTTGTCCACACTAAATTTGGAGTCTTTAACTCAAACTCTCTAGCGCCACCAACAGGCCAAATTTGCACTCATGTTTATGCTAATAACTTTTGAACCGTAGTCGTCTAGAAGCAAAATTCTGTTTTCCTCCGAATCCTTGGCTCATGCTGAGGAATCGGACATTGAAACATTGAAATTTCTATGCGTGAAGATATTTCGCAATTTTGAATTTTCCGAAAAATCTACTTTTTCGAACACATTCTAGATGGTTTGTCCGATTTTCACCAATATTGGCTCGGATCGTCTTCGGAGCATTCTGTCAAAAGTTATCAAGAGCTTTTTGATATGCTAAACCGTGCTAACGAATTTGACGAAGTGCAAAAATGGACTTGAGGTTATATCTTCGGCAATCTTAGCAGATTCTGAACAAACTTGGTATGCGTTATAACAAGCATGACCTGAAGGCACATGAGTAGTTTCAGCACAGCACCACCTACTGGTTAGAAGATATAAAAAAATTGACATTTCTGCTTAAAACTCCTGACCAGTTTGGCCAAAAAATCACGAGATTATTCTCGTTAGATTTGGAACAGCATACCGAATCGAACGATACCGAATTTTTCCAATGTTCCCCTTTTTGGGCGTCGCCCATTTTGAGTTTTGTAGTAAGTTTAAACTAAAGGTTGTTGTTCCTTACAACTTACCAAAGATCCAGTGGTCCATGGATATTGGCATGCAGCCAGGAATCGTGTTTCCTGGCATTTATATGTGCCTGATTTCGACGCTGGGGAAATACATACAGCAAATTTGCCTGTGAACGCTTTATGTAAATCTAAATCTGGCTGGGTGATCACTTATATAAATGTTGTATACAGATCGTCATATCGTCCAGCCCCCACTTTTTGTCAGTGTTTATTTAAAAACATCCAGTTTTGCAGACTATAAGATAAATATTTAAGTGATGAGTTATCAATACAATATACTATAACAATTCAATATATAGTGTATGATTTTACCACAAAATATCGACATAAAATGATAACTGCTAGGCCCCTTAATTGCTGCTTGCAGCTATATATTTTTGTAAATAACTCCAAACTATTTTAGGTTATGTTACTACCAGCTGTCAACAGTAATGTGTCTCAGATCACATGACAGATGTTAACAGCAGATGTAAACAGGCCAAAATCACCTCTGGCAGGTCCGGAGCCCATTCAGAGGGACAGTGGCAGCCGACTGCAGGTCACATGGGAGAAGATGAGTAAATCCAAACACAACGGGCTGGACCCGCAGGAGGTGCTGCAGCAGTACGGCCTCGACACCATGCGCCTCTACCTCCTGTACGCCGCTCCACCCGAGCAGGACATCTTATGGGACGTCAAGAGTGAGTATTAGTGATAAAACCGTTCCACCTCAGACACGTGACACTGAGGGCCCGTTCATGAGGGACATGTTCTAGTGATCCATCTGTTCTGTATTTTAATTGTAGGGTATGTAATCATGTGTCAGAACGCTATGTTGTGTCTCGCTGTTTTTTCACCCCCACATATTTAGGACACCATGTCAAATAAGAAATAGCTCAGCTTGAAACTATTTAGACAGTTGTAAAGTAGTCCGATAAATCCGGTGGTGAGATACATATGACATATTTACATTTGGACATAAGTGCATCGGGTGTTTGTGGGTGACATGAAATTCTTTTGGGAAGTTCAGATGCCCTAAACTAGTGGTTTTCAACCTTTAAGCCCCTCATTTTCCAAGACAATATTTGTAATTGTTTTACATTTTAAAATATTTCACATTTTATTTTGATACTTTTTGTTTTACTATTTTAATTATATTAAAATAATAAGTTATTTTTAGTACTATTTTTGACTCACAAATAGCAATTTCTCAGCAGTGTTTGCAATTTTTAACCAAATTGTTTTATATTAACTTTGTATCATTTTAATTATTTAAAAATAATAAATTAGAAATAAAATAGAAATAAGTAAAATAGTAATACATAATTTCCATAATTCCACAAATGTTCAGGGTTCACACTCTTTATGACCAGTGAATTTACATGAATTTTTTTCAGCTGCTCATCATTACAGGATAAGAATTTCATTCATTCATTCATTATTTTGACCCAATAAAATATTTTAGAACTTGACATAACTACAAAAATGTGTAGCCTCTTCAATGTAGTCATATTTATTATTTTTTAAAGTTTATTCATTTCCATGATTTTCTCAATTCTAGAAATCACACTTTTAAAATTCGCTTATATATATCCAGGTTTTCCAAGATTGTGGGATACCTTGCTTTTAACTGGAAAAATAGATTTTAGATGTTTTGATTTTGAATTTGAATTTTAGCTGTTTTATCTTGTTTTAATGCTTGTCTTATCATATTTGAATATATTAACTATTGCTATATTACATTTACACATGTGAAAAACCTAAAAGAAATGAAGAACAGTTATAGGACCTGCATACACTTTCACATATATGTTCATAAAAAATGTGCATCTTATTCTTCAACTAAACATTAGCAACAGTGTATGAGAGTTACATCTCCTCCAAATGCACCTGTTGTACTCCATCTAGATGTTTTTAGCACTAGAACACATCCTGTGTGAACGTCCTGATCTCTAACCCGTTCATCCAGTACACTGACCCCACCACCATACCAGCGTTCTGTTTTAAAATGATGCTGTGTGTGTTTGCGTGTGTGTGAAGCTGATGCCATCCCAGGCGTGTTGCGGTGGCAGGCCCGTCTGTGGGGTTTGATCACCAAACTGAGAGCTGCACGCGAGGGTCCAGAGACGCCCAACCCGTCCGTCCTCAACAAGAGAGAACGATCAGAGGCCAGGAAGATCTGGGAGAACAAGAACTACGCCATCACACAGGTGAAGCCACGCCAGAGATGACAGAGATGATTATGCCTATATGTTTTAGAAGTACTAAACGTTTGAGTACTACTAAATATATGAGCGTTGTACCAAGAAATGTAGATGGCACCACATATAAACTCAATATTTACTGAAGCCTGAATTCATTGATAGGATAATAAAAACTATAATATAAAGAATGAAGTATTGTACTGTATGTTGCTTGCAGAAAACTTGAATCACGATACATATAGGTACTTTTGAATGGATGGATGCATTTTACCCCAGAATTGGTGTAGTTACAGCATCTAGCAGCAGAGGCTAATGGGTCATGCTAACCAGCAAACCCTGACCCCTTGATATGACCCCTTTATCTAGTATTCAGGAAACAGTCATGTGTTTCACTCTTTGACCAGTGGGGGTCACTGCATCACCCATCCGTATTTGTTCCATTCTGATAGAATTCCTTTGTTTTTGGATATTTTTGACTTTGACTAGTTTTTCAAGTACCTATATGTCATGCAGTCTCTCAATTAATATTAAAAAGTACACCTCTTCTTTCCAATCAAAGCAGAATGCATGTAAGGTACTCTGAACACTGTAAAATATTCCCATCAAATTAAACATTTTTAAGTATAATCAAATTGGCTGTGCAAGTCATTTCAACTCATAATTTAAAATTCTTGTCTAGCTGAATCCCATAGAACTTAACAAATGAAGATAAAATTGGGTAAATTATTTTTCAATTATTAATTACATTCTGGCATTGATCATTTAGTGTGTGTGTGTGTGTGTGTGTGTCTATATATATATTTTTTTTTATTTTTATTTTTTATTTTATTTTATTTTATTTTTTTTGAAGAAATTACTTTTTAAATTTACATTCGTGCATTTAGCAGATGCTTTTATCAAAAGCAACTTACAGTAGAGCAGCAAAAGCAATTTGACACAGAGCCATCGATATATGTAGTATAATACTTTTATTCACCAAAGACGCATTAAATTGATCAAAAGTGACAGTAAAAACATTTATAAAGGTACAGAAATTTTCTTTTGAACTTTGAGAAGCAAATCAGCATATTATACTGATTTCTGAAGATCGTGTGACACTGAAGACTAGAGTAATGATGCTGAAAATTCAGCTGTGCATCACAGAAATACATTACATTTTAACAGAGATTCACATAGAAAACAGTTCTTTTAAATAGTAATAATATTTCACAATATTTCTGTTTTTACTGTATGTTTGATCAAACAAATGCAGCCTTGATTAGCATAAGAGACTTCTTTCAAAAATCTTTTAAACAGTACTGTATAATGCACGGAGTGCGTAAATTACATAATTTTCATTTCTGAGAGAACTATTTCTTTATCGAAAGGCTGCATACAGTGGGAAAGTGGTCTTACATGTGGAATGTGTATGTTTAGCCTGTGTAAGTGTAAATGGCAGGCCCGTCTGTGGGGTTTGATCACCAAACTGAGAGCTGCACGCGAGGGTCCAGAGACGCCCAACCCGTCCGTCCTCAACAAGAGAGAACGATCAGAGGCCAGGAAGATCTGGGAGAACAAGAACTACGCCATCACACAGGTGAAGCCACGCCAGAGATGACAGAGATGATTATGCCTATATGTTTTAGAAGTACTAAACGTTTGAGTACTACTAAATATATGAGCGTTGTACCAAGAAATGTAGATGGCACCACATATAAACTCAATATTTACTGAAGCCTGAATTCATTGATAGGATAATAAAAACTATAATATAAAGAATGAAGTATTGTACTGTATGTTGCTTGCAGAAAACTTGAATCACGATACATATAGGTACTTTTGAATGGATGGATGCATTTTACCCCAGAATTGGTGTAGTTACAGCATCTAGCAGCAGAGGCTAATGGGTCATGCTAACCAGCAAACCCTGACCCCTTGATATGACCCCTTTATCTAGTATTCAGGAAACAGTCATGTGTTTCACTCTTTGACCAGTGGGGGTCACTGCATCACCCATCCGTATTTGTTCCATTCTGATAGAATTCCTTTGTTTTTGGATATTTTTGACTTTGACTAGTTTTTCAAGTACCTATATGTCATGCAGTCTCTCAATTAATATTAAAAAGTACACCTCTTCTTTCCAATCAAAGCAGAATGCATGTAAGGTACTCTGAACACTGTAAAATATTCCCATCAAATTAAACATTTTTAAGTATAATCAAATTGGCTGTGCAAGTCATTTCAACTCATAATTTAAAATTCTTGTCTAGCTGAATCCCATAGAACTTAACAAATGAAGATAAAATTGGGTAAATTATTTTTCAATTATTAATTACATTCTGGCATTGATCATTTAGTGTGTGTGTGTGTGTGTGTGTGTCTATATATATATTTTTTTTTATTTTTATTTTTTATTTTATTTTATTTTAATTTTTTTGAAGAAATTACTTTTTAAATTTACATTCGTGCATTTAGCAGATGCTTTTATCAAAAGCAACTTACAGTAGAGCAGCAAAAGCAATTTGACACAGAGCCATCGATATATGTAGTATAATACTTTTATTCACCAAAGACGCATTAAATTGATCAAAAGTGACAGTAAAAACATTTATAAAGGTACAGAAATTTTCTTTTGAACTTTGAGAAGCAAATCAGCATATTATACTGATTTCTGAAGATCGTGTGACACTGAAGACTAGAGTAATGATGCTGAAAATTCAGCTGTGCATCACAGAAATACATTACATTTTAACAGAGATTCACATAGAAAACAGTTCTTTTAAATAGTAATAATATTTCACAATATTTCTGTTTTTACTGTATGTTTGATCAAACAAATGCAGCCTTGATTAGCATAAGAGACTTCTTTCAAAAATCTTTTAAACAGTACTGTATAATGCACGGAGTGCGTAAATTACATAATTTTCATTTCTGAGAGAACTATTTCTTTATCGAAATGCTGCATACAGTGGGAAAGTGGTCTTACATGTGGAATGTGTATGTTTAGCCTGTGTAAGTGTAAATAGCCTCTCTAGGGCCGGGATTGATTTTGCGCTGGTTTAAAAAGGCCTGGACTGTACTTGATCTAATCCATAGCCACTGAGCCTCACAATCTTTGATCTTCTGCCGGGAAAAGCCGCTGTCATCAGCTGTGTCCTTCCTTTGGTCAGGGCCTCGGGAGGATAGCTGTTGTTCTTTCCGTTCTGATGCGGAGCCTGCCTGATCTTGGCTATCCAGAGGAAAGTGATGATCTAGTCACAAACCACGAAAAAAGAGCAGCGTCTACCAGCAGAGATCATGTGATCACACTATGAGCAAATAAACCTCCATCCTCATCCGTTCATTCATGTAAGGCAGTAATGAGGCACCTGGTGACATTCAAGCTCTGAAACCTAGTGAGCTGCCCTGCTGTCTGCTGCCTACATAGAAACATCCGAAGTGACTGAACTGAAATGCTGTACATAGACAGCAACACATGCCACAACATCCAGAGGATTGACTCACAATTGATATTCCCAATTGAGTTTGGCATGCTTACAAAGCATGAAAATAGCACACAAAATATTAGATAAAGTAGATTTTTTTTAAGAAAACTGAACTACAGTTCAGAAAGCTTTGTTTAATGTTTTGACTGAGCAACACAGTGGCTTGTCACGAGGAATGCGACATTTGTAGCCCATGTCTAGGATTCGTCTGTGTGTAGTGGCTCTTGATGCACTGACGCCAGCTTCATTCCACTCCTATTTCAAGAAATAAAGGCTTGAAATATTTCACTCTATGTGTAATGAATCTATATAACATATGGGTTTCACTTTCTGAAATGAGTGACAAAAAATATTGACCTTTTTCATGATATTCTAATTTTTTGAGATGTACTGTACCTGTAAACAACATAGGCCTATAAACATCTAGCAATGCTATAAAAATATGTTGTGTGCAGGCGAGAGGCTCTGGCACGTTCATGGATATTGTCCTTATCACAGCAGAAAAAACTAAAATATTCTGTCATTTTTGGTCATAAAGATAGGAGTAGGACATCTTTTGAAAACTTGCAAAGGGTTTACTTTTATTTATGTGTACGATCACCTGCTGCAGTGCCCATGAGCTCCTCCAGAGGGCACTCCCACCTTGTTCACTTTCTAACATGGACTTCATTCCCCATAATCCTTTGCACGCACTCATCAGCACTCATTGTTTGCACCTGTCTTGTTAACCCTGTCTGCTCACCATATATAAGCCTGGTTCATTTTGTCATTCATTGCTAAGTCTTGTATGTGTCTGTACTGCAATTCTAAGCCTCGTTTCCTGGTTTTCTCGTGTCTTGGTTCTTGGTTTTGTTTCCCTGCCTGTTTTGGATTACCCTTTTGTGTTTTCTGCCCTGTTGTTATTGTTTGGACTGATTGCCCGTGTTATGACCTTTGCCTGTTTTTGGACTTTGATTGTGGATTACTGCATCTGGATTCTCAAACTTCGTGTACCTGTGCAGTTTTATGACAACAATAAGAACAAAGAAAGCAAACAGGGTGCGCTTTCAGCCGTCATGCGGCCATAAAAAATTAAACAAAACAGACAACCTATTTATTTTATTCTCCATTTTGTCCTGATGTTTATGCGCATGCAAAACTAAACCTCTGAAAAGAAAAACATTTATTTTTAACGTGTCGCATACACTTAACCACTCTAGTTTAAATTAAATTTAACATTGTAATTTTGTCAGTTAATGGATAGGAAATGAACATCATAATGTTTGAGAATGAGCTCAGTCAGCGGAGAGTAGGTGGTCTTTAGTGACTGTTCGACCGCATGAGCGTCCACACTACGAGCGCAATCCGGTGTTTTCCGGTGAATGCATTTTCAACTACCTCTGGAAGTGGTCGAAAGTGAACAAGCTCAAAATGTTTTAGACCCCATTCACACCTGTATTTAGTGTTGTCCACTTGTGATCGGATTGACGATAACGCATCTTAATACCAGGTGTAAACAGGGCCTTATCGACGTTGCCACAGTTCTTCTGGATTGAGTCTGTCTCAGTTTGTTCTGTTTCTTCATGTCATTCCAGGCGGACTGGATGATGCTCTGTGTGGAGCACTGGCTGCTGTCAGACAAAAATCTCACTGGATTATTACAATTAATGGCAAAAGGAATGTTTGGAAATGTAAACTGATATTTCTTACTGACACACTACAGCAAAAGATAGAAATTACTGGCTTAAACTTAACTTATAAGGACTTGTATATTTGATCACTTTCTTGGTGTTTTTGGAACGTTAAATGAAGCAGCTCTGATGGGTGGATGCTAACCTTCAGGGAAACATGTGCATTTAGCAGCAGCTTATCTAATCCTGAAAGAGTCCGTTAACATATGCAAGCATGAAGCATTATTAATTTCACTGTTGGTGTGAAAGGGCCTTTGCAAATGCCAAAAATATAACTTTTGGGTTTTTTGTTATTAAAAAACAAATAAGCAAGCCCAGCCCAGGTGACTGAATGATGACCATATTCATGTACCAAAACATTTAATGATTCTGATGGTAGTGCCATTTACGAATTGGTTTCCTTTCAATTGAATTTGTATAGTTGGTCATGCCTCACAGGAAGATGAATTGTAATGAGAAATTTACTGAATTGCAATTTTAACATTTAAAAAATATATATTTAATCATGAATATCAGTGTTGGGGAAAGTTACTTTTAAAAGTTATACATTACAATATCGTGTTACTCCATAACAAGTATGTAATTCTGTTACTTGGTTACTTTTCTGTGGAAGGTAATGCATTACATTACTTTTGCATTACATATCGCTTATTTGTTTTTTTATTAACAAAAAACCCAAAAGTTATATTTTTGGCAACTGTAAAGGCTCTCAGCACAGGGAGTCAGTGAGTAAATGGGAAACAAAGTAGCTTGCGTTACTTATTAGAAAAAGTAACTCAGATATTTTGTTGTAAATCTAAAAGTAGTGTGTTGTTTTACTAGTTACTTGAAAAAAGTAATCGGATTACATAACTTATGTTACTTGTAAGTGTTAAGTTTCCACAGTCTGTGATGATTTGGGGTGCAATGTCATCTGCTGGTGTTGGTCCATTGTGTTTTTTGAACAAAAAAATTGCCAAAAGCACCAAAAGTTGGTTAAATGACCATGGTGTTGGTGTGCTTGACTGGCCAGCAAACTCACCAGACCTGAAGCCCATAGAGAATCTATGGGGTATCGTCAAGAGGAAAATGAGAAACAAGAGACCAAAAAATGCAGATGAGCTGAAGGCCACTGTCAAAGAAACCTGGGCTTCCATACCACCTCAGCAGTGCCACAAACTGATCACCTCCATGCCACGCCGAATTGAGGCAGTAATTAAAGCAAAAGGAGCCCCTACCAAGTATTGAGTACATGTACAGTAAATGAACATACTTTCCAGAAGGCCAACAATTCACTAAAAATGTTTTTTTTTATTGGTCTTATGAAGTATTCTAATTTGTTGAGATAGTGAATTGGTGGGTTTTTGTTAAATGTGAGCCAAAATCATCACAATTAAAAGAACCAAAGACTTAAACTACTTCAGTCTGTGTGCATTGAATTTATTTAATACACGAGTTTCACAATTTGAGTTGAATTACTGAAATAAATGAACTTTTCCACTACATTCTCATTTATTGAGATGCACCTGTAGCTTTACTTGATTATCCATGCATAGATTTTAGGGAAAATCATGTTCAAATGTGAGTCTCAAATACGATCATCATTGTATTGCATCGCATTATATGTTTTGATCATCAAACTAAACATTTAAATATCATCTTACTAACATTATTGGCAGATATAGAGTGATGACTGATATTTATATCATTTTATGTAACTATCTGCTATACCGATTTACATTACAAGCTATTAGAATGTAGTCTTTTTTATGATTTTTGGCTAAATATCAGCACAAAAGTGCACAAAAATAGCATATTTTTGCTCCGTATGAATAATGTATAATGAAACAGGTGTTTTTTCCTCAATGTATGAGCTCTATATTCTCACTATATTATATGAGCCATAAAAGCCTGATGTATATATGATACTCAACAAAAAACACACATACAAACGTTTTTTTTTTTTGTCTAAATGTTCAATAAATTGTTCAATTTGCATTTACATTTACATTTTATTTATTGGTGTTCAGACTATGTGACGATTTCCTGAAACCTCTCTCAGGTTTGTCTCAGGTGAGGAATCCTCTAGGAAGTGTGCTGTTGGGGAAGGGAAGTGTCCTTCAGCAGCCGTGGCCCAGTGTGGACCCAGAGTACCTACAAACACCCGACACACTCCAGCTGTCCGTACGGGTATGACACACACACACACACACACACACACACTCTCT